GTCCGACTCCCGTGTCCTGGGTTCTGGTTTGCTGTCTTTTGCAATGTTTATGGCGGTCGGACTCCTGTGTCCTGGGTTCTCGCTTGCTTCTGTTCACAATGTTTGTGGCGGTCGGACTCCTGTGTCCTGGGTTCTGGTTTGCTGCTTTTTGCAATGCTTATTCCGGTCCGACTCCCGTGTCCTGAACAGTACAGCAGGCGGCGATGTAGAGGTGTAGCTGTGTCAGACCAAAGGGCTCAAAGTATCTGCTTGACGGCATGGAGAGCATGCCCATAACTTTCTGGGTGCATGGCTACCGTGTCGGATGTCAAAAAGATTTGTGGTCTCAGATGGCCCGTCCTTCGAAATACACGGACACGTCAGTGTTTGTCACTGTTTGTGTAGCTGCAGTACACAACCAACAGCTGCAATTGCTTAAAAGTCTCGGTTTCTTGGACTCCACGCCTAAAAGACTGGAATAGGGGTTTCCAAGAAGAAAAGGAAGCCCGATATAATCATTCCTCGAAACCGATGGTCTGCAGTCGGTGGTTTAGGATGAAGTGTGAGGGCTCGGATCAACGGAATGCTCCGAGCCAATGCCGCAACTCTTAACCCGACGCCCTAAACCTCGAAACCCTGCATTTAAGCAAGCCAGAACTGAACTCGAGACTAAAGGACATCGCAAAGTACAAGCAGTCTGCTTTTGCCGGCGATGAGTACATCGGTTATGGTCATAATGATGCTTGCTAAAGATATTAACAGTGCTCATCAGTGCTCCTATGGACATGCTTCGTCCTCCTTGTGGGTGTTGCTATTTCCACCCACAGTCATCCGACCTCAAGTCCTCGACCCTAGAGTGAACTACGACAACCTGCTTTATGTAAGGTCCTTATCATATAAAGATCTTTCTCAGGCGAGGAGGCCTTAAAACAGAGTAAGTTATCTCTGTCTAAGATAGAACAAACACGACTGTGCACCTGCTCTGCACAGGTGCGCTTGAAAGTCGTCAGCTCCTGGTCACCGGTGTCTATGCGGTTGAAGTGGGTCTTAGGGTCCGGGACTTCGGATGGATGATCGGGTTTCAACTCGAAAAGTATTACCACTGGATTTGTCAGGCTTGAGGGCATCGACCCTGGCATTCAAGGCGACACTCCTTTATGGGAGTATTGCTTCTTGGCAATGCAAGCACAGCCAACATGAAAGAAACCTTAAGCCTCCACCGGACTGGCACTGCGCGCCGACAGAATGTTATCCGAGGTGAAACGTCCGCCAGACACCAGACAACCCACCCCACGCAGCCACACCCAAATGTTAAAACACTCCAGCAGGTTGTTGTTAGGACGGTTCATGGACCCCAACCTACCTAGGGGTCGTATGTCACATCCCGCGACGCCTGAACCACAGGATTTTTTCCCCGGACGTCACGCAACGGAAGTTTCTGGCGGAGCCCATGCTTCATGGGCGCCCCAAAAGTGTCCCATTCTTTGTAAGGTTTTAGTGTTAGGGCCTGTTAGGGTTCTGGAGTTTGCTCTTATGTTAGGGTTCTCGAGTTTGCTGAAGGAACCTTAAGTTCAAGCCTAAACTGCGGACCTCAAAGCTAACTTGCCATACCCTGTCTTGAAAGAATCGCTCTGCAGCTGCAGAAACTGACTGGGAAGCAACGAGGCAGCTTCCTGCTGATGGGTGTCCCCAAACAACTGTGCGTTGATGGGGGACTCTATCCGTAGGCGGCAACAAATTGGAGAACCATGAGCCCTACGCCCAAGCCACTCTCAAAATGTAGTAGTTTTTGGCTCTGATTGCAAACCTCATGACTTCGCTGTCGCGTACGTTGTTTCAATTTCAAAGGCTCTTGGCGAAAGTTACCCTAAATCCAAAAGGCATTCAGCACAGGTGGCACAACCTTAAAAAGTCCTTGAGAACATCTCCTCATCTTCAGTGCTAGCCAGACCCTGCTCCTTTTCGGAGGATGATGGCTCTGGAACAAAGAGGTGGCTAGTATGTCCCTTCGCCGCCAGCATCAGTGGGGTGTGACCCCGGTGGTTCCGATGATTCACATCGGCTCGGGCCGAAAGCAAAAACGAGACCATGGGCTCGTTCGCATAGTAGCCAGCGATGCCCAGGGGTGTTGAGCTGTTCTCTGCAAAATAGCGGACCAGCGCAGAGTCTTTTCCAAGACACTGGGATGCCCGACAAATCAACTCCGCGAAACGCCACACTCCTGAAGCACGCTGTGCTTGATTTACATCCGCACGAGCGCGAACAAGAAGGCCGGCAACTTCCACCGCATATTGTGACTGACCTTTTGTGTAGATGGACATAGCCATCAACGGCGTAGTCGACTCTCCTCCTTGGCTCAGGTTCGGATCCGCTCTCAACTCGAGCAGTTTGGCCACCACTGGCACAGGCGCCAGCTTACAACAGCACACCGCCAGTGCAGTGTTGCGAATCAGTCCACTTCGATGGTTCACATCGGCCCGGTGGCTCACAAGGAGTTCGACAGTTTCAGGATCTTTGCAATTGGACATCACAGGCATGCCAATGCTGCAGGTGACGTTTGGGTCAGCTCGCGATCGAAGGAGTTCCGTGATCACATCGGCGGATCCGATGCCGCGGAGCACGGCAAAATGAAGGGGAGTCTGACCTGGAAATTGGTCCACTTCCTGCAGATTCGGGTGTCTCTTTGACAGCTGCGCTTTGGCCTCTAGCAGCATGCGAACTATGGATCTGTCACCAGCCATGGCTGCGCAACCCAAGGCCGTCATACCTGCAGACTTGATCGCCTCTTCCATAGTCCTGAAGCCGAAAGATGCGAGAAACTCCTCCGGAGACCGCTCGGCACGTGGAAGACCTAGTAGGTCGTGGTACCTTGCGGTGTAGAACCGCAAGAGGTCATGCATCTTGCACTGGCGGAGGTGAGTAATATACACGTCCATAGCCTCGCGAAGCATCCGCATCACCTTTTGCCGGTCAGAGTCGACAGTGAAGTCTCCCGTGTGAACTGGCCGGTGAATCCAATCTTGGGGGGCCAAGAATGTAGCATCAGCGGCACCTTGCACGACGATCACGCCCAAGTTGGCGTTGGTACACAGTCGATTGCACCAGAGCTCTGCCCGACACCAGCCTCGCTGAAGCCAGGACTCAAAATTGCAAAGCCGGCCTGTCTCATGACGTAAAGGTGGGACGAGGACCACGAAAAGCTCACAGCAGTCGATGTAGGAGGGGATGGACTCCACCGCCAGGTTCAGTTGATCTCTGCAGGCCGGGTCCTGTGGGATACAGAACCAGTCCATCCACATGTAGCCGTCACGCAACAGATTGCGCTCCCTGGGCGACAAAAAGCGATAGGCTTTCATGAACTCTGTGACTGTGTCAGACTGCACTTTCACACTCCCGTCAATCGCACCCTGCAGAGCGTTCTGCAACACCTTGAATTGAGCTGCAGCGCGATCTGGATGATGTAAGCCCAGCCACTGGTGCGAGACAAAAACTGTAAACCATCCCAGTTGGTGTGCATGCAGCAGTGATGCCTTCTGCAACTCCTCATAAACCATGACACTAGCCATGTTTAAAACATCGGAGATTTTCACGACCAACATTTGGAAAGCTCGTAGGTGAGGAGTAGTCCCAGGGGCCATGGCGTCAGGTTTGCTAGTAACAGTACCCATTTGGGCAACTGTCACTGTTCAACAGTAGAAAAACACCTTAAGCCTTATTATATGCCGATTTCAAGGCACGGAAAGTACGACAAAGACACCCGACAGAAAGACACCCGACAGGGGAACTGGCAGTTCGCGGGAATCGTCCATTGGTTTTGCACCCCGCGGGTTGAATCTTCGGGACAAGGTCGGGCTGTTTAGATCATTCAACTGCGTTGAAGGTCTCGTGACATTAATAGGGTCAAGGGTAACATGCAAATGAAATCTAAGCCTTCCTGAGCCGCAACTGCCAAAGGAAACCATCTCTCTCCGCATTCTTCTTCGTCTACACTGTGTGCAATCAATCCGCTGTCTATTGCGTGACAGCTTGGCGACGAGTGGGAAGCAAGCGGTTCAGCTCGACGTCGTCCCTCTGAGTCTGTGTCTGTGGCTCACTTGCCCACGGGGTGTGTAGCATCTGGGATTTGGGGCTCGACTTTAAGTCCCCGCGACTCCCATTCGACGTGTGTGAAGCTTCGCATCTTCTGTTTCACGAATTCGACTTGCGAGCTAAATTCAATACCGAGCAAACAGTTCACAGTTGACAGATTAGCCATTCTATGGTAGATCCCGGCCTTCGAAATATGATATAGAACCTCCAACCATCTCCCTGCCTATTTTGAATCCCATGCGGCTTTGCAACTTCCAATCAGGATGCCAACATTTTCGGGTCTTAATTCGAAATTCCTTCATCTCGTGTGGCTACTAGCCAGAAAAATCTTTCTCCCGGTCCTCACGAACCGACGTGAGCTCTGCGCGGAGAGCTTGGATCTGTGCGCCCAGAATTGGTAGGTCTGCTAAGTCTGGTAGGTCCACGAAGGTTTAGGGTTTAGGGTTTAGGGTTTAGTTGCTGGGAAGTCCATGTTGAGCAGGCACGCTGAATTGCACGAGCGAAGCTGTCTATCGCAATGTGGGACCAATTGATTTCCGGTTGAACGTTTACGATTTGGGGTTGCCTCACCGTGAACTACATCGTTTCAAGACTTGCGAAGTCCGAGGGGCGTGATCCAACTGAGCCCCAAACCGTGAAACTAACATCGAACACCATACAAGTATGCACCAGGAGACCCCAAAACACTGAAACAAGCAAAAAGCAGCAAACCCCAAACCCCAGCCCTGAAGCCGAAATCCGATACCCGACTCGTGAATTCAAACTAATTCTTGTTCGTGAAACGGTGACCCTTTCCTTTTAGTCCTTGAGCACATGCACCTGGACATAAGATAGTACATGGCTGCAACGAAACAATATCTAAACCACATGCGGCGCACATGCGTGCTCAACCGAACGTGGCTTTTCAGGCATCCCTTCATGCTTCCGACGCTCGTAGCCTTTCATGGAACCCTGAAGCCTTAACTGAAACTTGGACTCTCGAACCTCAAGTCGGGCCGCCGTAAGCTCCTCACAATCGGGCGTTGTGGAGCGGCTGGGTTTTGGGATTACCGTTTTGCGGCTCGCTTTTTGGAAACCACGACAAGAAGTTTTCGGCCGCCAAACTGGGTTGGCTTGCGTTTGAGATTTCACGGTCTAGGTTTTCTGCCATCCGTAGTTCAGTGGAGTATTTCGTGACAGAACACGCAAGGACCTTCCTGGAATTCGTAAAACATTTCATGTTTCAACCCTTCAAAGCATGCAGGAAGCTTTCGAGTTTCGGGTCTAAGCTTCATGGCTTCGGGGCGTAGCCCCTCTACAGGCAAATTCGTCAGCATGATACTTATTGTTGTTGGTCGTAGTGGAAGTAGTAGTTGTGGTCGTCCTCCTTGTCGTTACTGGTGGCGTTAGCAGTACCATTAGCAGTAGCAGCAGGAGTAGTAGTAGTAGTAGCAGCAGTAGTTGTAGTAGTCG